AAATTGTTCTACTCTCAGAAACTTGGTTACTTCCAAATAAAAATTTTCACCTTTCAAATTTTAACTCAGTCCGCTCTGACCGACAAGATGGTTACGGCGGTGTCGCCATCTTGATCCATTCCTCAATTCAATTTCGTCCCATTACACTTAATAACAATCTGAAACAAATGCTCAGTACCTTTTCAATCGACCTAGTTGGTATCAATGTATTAATGCCGGACAATAACACCTTTCAACTATGGTCTATTTACATTCCTCCTTCATCTAATCCCTCTACTCTAATAGTTTCTGAATTTTTTAAACTACTCTCCAATAACTCCATTATTGCAGGAGATTTTAATGGTCATCATTCTGCCTGGGGTTCACTAAACTCCAATTATATAGGCAATATTATTCACTCAACCATCAGGCAGCATAATTTATGTATTCTGAACACAGGCGCTCCAACTAGAGCTAACCGGCCACCGTTCCCGGATACTGCTGTTGACCTAACAATATGCTCCCCTAATATTTCCTTGTCCTCATCTTGGTACGTTTTGGGTGATCCTCACGGTAGCGATCACTATCCTATTGTAACAAGTCTTTCCATACAGCCCACTCAGAGTATGGGTCGCCTTAACTGTGACTCTTCCTCCAATGTTTCAGATAACTTAAGGTTTAATTTATACTTAGCAGATTGGACTTCTTTCTCTCTAATTGTCTCTACCTTACTCAAATCTTGGTCTGAATCCACCTCCCCTACAACAAATTATAACAATTTTGTTGATATCCTAATAAAAGCAGCAAAACTTTCAATCCCGCGTAAGCGTTTGAACAATATAGGTTTTAGCCATTCTCCTCCTTGGTGGAAATCAACGTGCACCACTGCAGTTAAAATTCGCTCCTTTCATTTCAAAAAATACAGATCCTCAGGTTCTCTTCATGACTATATAACATATCAAAAATCAAAATCCAACACAACCAAAATTCTAAAAAAGGAAAAAAAAAAACTCTTGGTTAAATTTATGCAGCAATCTACACCCTTCAACGTCCATCTCTGAATTTTGGACCATAGCTAAAAAATTCAAAAACTGTATAAATCGTCCTTCTTCCACCATCAACAATGACTGGTTTGACGACTTTTGTAATAAAATTGCACCTCCTTACGTTCCTACCCCTGACGAACTTGAATTATATTTTTCAAACAATTTAGCAAATAGTAGTAATAATAGCTTCCTTTCCTCTCATTTCAGTCGTCACGAACTGTCCTTTGCTATCTCTTCAAGGAAATCTGCTGCTGCTGGCTTGAATAATATTTCTCCTTTTTTTTTTAAACATCTTCCAATAAAAGCCTTTGATATTTTTTTAACTATCTTAAACAATTTATGTATTAACAATATCATTCCCGAGTCTTGGAAGCACTTCAAAGTAATTCCCATCCCTAAAAGTGGTGCTGCTACTAACGCATAACGTCCAATTGCCCTTTCATCTGCCTTCTACAAATTAACACAGTTTATGCTAAAAACTCGCCTGGATTGGTATCTTGAATCCAACTCTCTACTATCTCCTAACATGTTTGGTTTTCGACGTGGACTGGGCACAATGGAATGCCTATCCTCTCTTGTTGGTCCCGTGTACCATTTATTTTGTAACCGCCAATATACAACAGCCGTCTTTGTTGACGTTCGTGGTGCATTTGACTCTGTTAATATTTCTCTTCTTGTTACACGTCTACTCTCCATCAACATTCCTATATCGGTGTGCAAATTTATCTTTTCTTTATTTAAATGCCGCCTCCTTCACTTTAAATCGCCGTTTGGTCCCTATTACCAACGTGTTACTTATAGAGGTCTTCCTCAAGGTAGCTGCCTCAGTCCTATTTTATTTAACATATATACTGCTGATATAAGCAAATCACTCACATCTAATAATTTCTCTAGTTTACTTTACGCCGATGATATAGTTATTTTCTCTTCCCATAGTTCACTCCAGGTTACTGTATCGAATATAAATAATGCACTCCAGATCCTCTCCTCTGTACTCCAGCTTTCCTATTTTGAATCTGCCCCAGAAAAAAGCAAAGCTATAATATTTATTAGAAAACACATCCTACAACACCCTTCAATTTTGCTTGATGGAGTTAGCTTATCCTTCTCTGATTGTGTTACTTACCTCGAACTCAAACTAGATCAGAAACTACGCTGGATGCCTCACTTTAAGTACCTCATCTCTTCCATATCACGCTGGTCTAATCTTTTACGTTCTATTGCAGGTACCTGGTGGGGCTCCCACCCCTCCTCACTCTTACTTATTATTAAGGCTCTTATTCGCTCTAAAGTTGACTATGGTTCCTTTTTATACGTCTCGACTTCCACTGTTCATCGTAAAAAAATCAATTCTCTACTCGCTGCTTGTTTACGCACGATTATAGGTGCAGTTTACTGTTCCCCTAATATGAGTTTAGAAGTAGAATGTGTATGCCCTCCAATTGAAATTCAATCTCGTTACTTAGCTTATAAAATTCCTTTTAAAATAGATATCAAGTCCTGCCAAGTTAATATTTCATTGTTTTCATTCACTAAGCTCACATTGGCGATATGTACCCAAAACTCTTCCTCTACTTGCCTCAATTTCTACTACCTTGATTCCCTACCTTAATTCCATAATTACCTCAATCAATCGCCTACCTATATACGACATTCCATTTCATGCACTTACTCATTTTCCAAAAATTCACTTTAACCATCTATTTCTTTCTTATAGCAAGCCTCAATTACAATCTCTCCAAACTAATCTCGTCAATTATCTTTTTGATGAACTCATTTCCTCTCGTTTTGCTAACTATTGCCTCATATTCACTGACGGCTCAGTTTATACTAATTCCGCCGGTTTTTCCTTTTTTATTCCTAATCTAAACATAAATTTCTCAGATAATCTCCCTTCAAAAACTTGTCCATTTACCACCGAATCTTATGCGATATCCTCGGCTCTCGAATTCGTCAAATCACTCAATATAATAAATGTTCTGATTGTCTCGGATTCACTGTCAGTTTTATCATCTCTTTCCTCAGTTACTTTTAAAAAAAGTAGATCCTTCCTCACAATCAAAATTAAAGCCTTATAGTCTCTATTTAATGGACATTAATGATGAATTTTTATGGTGCCCCAGTTATGTCGGAATATCTGGCAATGAGATAGCAGACCATCTAGCCAAACTGAACTCCTTCAACCGACCACCTATCCTAAAAATTCCGATCTCCTTTCCTCTTTTCATCCAACTATTAATAAAGCATGGCAAGATAAATGGTCAAATTTTTCTTTAGCTAACTGGCATAAATCTATAGTTCCAACTATCCCTAAACGTCCTTGGTTCTAAAACCTCCCTCTGTCCCGTTTCCATATTACCTCTTTTTCCCGTCTTAGATTTGGTCATAATCGGTTACCTAGTCATGCCTTTAACATGTCACTAAACCATTCCCCCTTCTGCCCCAAACACAATGATGAAGTTCCCTGTAATTTTCCTCATTTACTATTTGATTGCCCAGCTTTACAACATAACCGTTTACTCTTGTTCAATTTCCTGCCCTCCCTTAATATTTCACCCATTAATAGTTTTAATATCCTTAATACAAAATCCTCCTCAATAATTATACATATAATTTCCTTCGTTCATTCAGCTGGCTTCGTTATATAATATTTTTCTGTATGTTAATTTAATATCCTATGTCTACTTTGTTTTTTCTTTCTTTTTTAGTATTTTGAGTATGTTTAATTTATTAATTTAACGATATGTATAATTGTGTTTAATAACAATATATTTTTTGCTTTTGTATAGTCTTAGTTCTTATTGGATAGTCTTAGTTTCTATTGTATAGTTTTATTTTAATCGTTTAGCATAATAATACTTCTGTATTAAAAGCTAATTTAAAAAAAAAACTAACACCAAATATACAAAACGATGTCACACTACAAAACAAATAAAAAAACATTTTTTTTATCACTAATATTTTTCTTTCTATTTCATTTTAAAAGTTGAAAATCGATTTTCAGACTTCTCTAATATCACCAATCAATAAAAAATCGATTTTGGCGAAAAATAATAGTAGTTAAAGAACAAATGAATTAAATAAACTTTTTTTTTAACTGAATTCAATTAAACAAAATTTTTAACTTGCCTAGTTAAATTTATAATTTGTTAACTTTTCGGCATTCTTCCTACTTTACATGTGCAAAATTATTTGTTTTAATTTGCCCATCTTTAGTGTTGTAAAACACTATTACATAAACTTACGAGTTTATTATTAACTTGTTAACTTCTTGGTAAGAGCCCGAATATTTCCTTTAAAATTTTTGACACTCAAATTTTATCATCAATCGCGGTTCCTATTACATATTATCAATTTTAATAAATATTTATTATTCTTAAGAATTGTTCTCTATAAAAATAATTATAATTATAAATTTAATATTAATATTTGTTTAACATTAATGTATTTTATGTTTATTAAAAAAAAACTAATACTATGAGTTATTTGTAGCTGTCTTTATTGTTAAGTAATTTTTTAAGATTGATATGTGATCAAAAACTTATATAATTACTATTAATAGAAGGCTTTAATATTTTAATAGAAGGCTTAGTAAGCATTCCAATGTAACTCCCAGCGTTTAAATAATTATTTATATTAAATTACTGCTTATAATACATTCAGTTTGTTACGTATTTTGGAATTATAATATGTTTATTGATTATTCATACTTAACATCAAACAGAAATATTTGTTATATTAATTAGAATGATTTTGTTATTATTTACTCAATATGCGAAACTTTAATTGTAGATTTGAAATAGGCACAAAAGTGGGTTTAGAAAAGTATATTTTGGTCTTTGATAATTATTCCTTGTAGACCAGTAAAATTATTTATAAATAACAAACAATTTATAAAGTATTGTACCAAGCCCTTCAGCTATTATACATGTTTGCCAAAAGAGTAATATCTAGTTAAAGAATAAATAATCTTACATAAAGGCACGAATTTGATCTTCAATCAATGTTTTGAAATTATTGATTACTGACGATTCTTCTAATTCACTACTTAAACCTAAGAAAATGTTTACAAATGAAGTTAATATTTTAAAATAATTCATTTTTAATAAAGTTTACAGTTTATCATTGATGCAAAGCTTGGAAGGTATTAATTTTATTATAAGTTTCTAACTTTTTGTCTGATTTTTATGATCGATTTATATCAACGATACGTCTAATATTACATATCTTATCTAGTCGAAGACAATACCTTTAAAAATTGAAAAATTTCCCACGTTATTCATAATGAAGAAATTCCCCAAAAAATTACAATTTTTAAAATAGGTAACTTTTGTGTTTTTAACTGACATAACTTTTTGAAAAATGAACGTGTTAAAATGAATTTTTTTAATATATAACCCTTATGTATTTTCTTTTTAATTGTTATAATTTTTTTTAGAACTGACCTTTTTTATGCCCACAGAAAGGGAATCAAAATAGCAATACTCAACTTTTTCAACTTACATACTCGACTTTTAAATACAGTTAAAATAAAGCTTCTTATGTACTATAAGTTTAAACAAAAATTCGTCCTAACGACCTATCTTCTATGTGCAAATGGCAGTCGAAGTTGAACAAATAATTGGAGTTAATTTTGATTCTGGAATAATCTATCAACATCTTAAAATTAAACACTATCTAGAGATATGCATCGAAGCGTTTCTTATGATAATTATAATAATCAATGTCAAACATTATCTATACTTGACCCAATTATGCCACGTCTACACTGTTTTTTTTATATTGGACCAAAGTTTATCAATACAACCACATTTAAACACAGTGAAAACAAATTTGGAAACATATTAATTAGACAAAAGTTAAGTTGAAGGACTATTGCTCTTTTTCTAATTTATTTGTTCTTATTTAATATATTAAAATAATTAACTTCACGGAACAAATCTAAAATTTAAACATATAAAGATAGTTTTTCCATTCTATAGTTTTTCTTACTTTTAATTTTTGAATATCCCAATTGTGAACACGACAAAGAAATACTTTTCAATTGATAGCTAATTGTTATACATATAGAAATGAATAAAACACCATATGCTATTGTTATATGACACCATGCGAGTACAAAAATTGATTCAATCATCCAAAATATTTTAAAGTATTTGTTGTACAAATTATCAGATTTAAAAAATATGAAATTAAATATATTGTAATTATAAATTTGAACAGAGCCTTTGAAATGTATTATTGTTTTCATTTTTTTTTGTATCATAGGACAACATATCCAGCACAAACAAATACATATCCAATAAATAGTATAAAAGTTTGTAATGAATACTACTCTTTTTTTACCTTCCATAAGTAAATCTCTATCATGATCTTTAAAAATTAAGTAGTCGATAGAAGTGTATTGTAAGCATTTACGTATTTTATTTGAAGTTCGAATCATCGTATATAATTTGACACCTGCAACTAATCCACCAATTAAAGTCATACTGAATCTAACTATTGCAAATAAATCTGTGTAACACCAAAATAAAGACCACACGCTCATAATGACAAGTAAAACTATTAAATGTATTTCAAGCAAAGTAAAACATTTTAACAAATTATAACCTATAAGTGTTGAGCATTTTTGGTCAAGTAATTGATATAATCCTAATACTTTCATTAATTTTATATGTATTACACTTTTTTCTGCATCAATCATCCTCACTTTTAAAATTGAAATGTTTTTCTGGTACTGAAAGTAAAAATTAGTTATTAATAAAATTATTTTTGATTTGTTTTTATAATTTTTCTTTTTTTGTTGACTCGTAATTTCATACCTAAGCATAAAGTCACAAATCTTTAACAAAATTTAAACTATCGCAATTTCTAAAAAATACTTGTTAAATTTACGGTGGTTAAACTTTTTTATACATAATTAATTTTAAATAATTTTTCTCAAAATTATACAGTAGTATAGTTGATAACCGCAAAGAAATAAATTTTTTTGAACTCTTTTGAATACATTGTTTTTTTTTATTAAAGTAACAGTTTTTTGGTAAGATATGAACAACAAAGATTTGATTTTTTCAAATTTCATATAAAAAAGTTAATTATTGTTTGTGATACGTTAATAAATATACAATAAAGATACAATTAGACTCTAACAACATACAATTAAACGTCCCATTTTCATCAAGTAATTCTAGGGTAGACCATAGACCTAATTTAATATGAAATTGAAAAAACACTAGAACTTACTAAAAACATTTATAGAACCCTTTCCGAAATTTTAACTTTAATTAATATTTAGAACTATCTATTGTATATTTTTTATATTAATTATTAATATTCAATAGATTTATGTTCTATTATTATTCGACATTATTATAAAATTAACAGTGCTTCTAGTTATCGTCACTACATCTGATATTTTTAATTTACAATTTTACCAACATATACTTTGGATCTCTATCTATGATGTATGGTAAAAATGTAGTTTGGATGGCAAGAATATAGAGGAGAATATACCTTATGTATGTGTTGCTATAGTTTAGACATTTTTGAAACTTATATCATAGACTTCTTAAAGTGAAATTTTTTCAATTTTTTTTACTTAAAACTGCCATCATTTTTTCAAAATTGAACAAATCAATATAATTTTTTTTTTAAATGATGCATTATATTCTTACCTATCATTTAGTATATTTTTTTTATAAATCTGACCCTAAACCTGCCCACAGGAGGGGATTTAAAATGACAACTTTTTCAACTTAACTTTTGAAAGTGTTCCGGAAAGTCTGACACTTTTATATATAACTTAAATTAATGCTAATGTAATGTACTTTATTATGGAAAAATAAATTATTAGATCTAAATATATTTGTTGGGTAGAGTGTGGCACGCGTGTATGACCGGTTCGAACGTGTTAATGATTCGTCCGGTCATCGTTACTTCCTCAGCGAGCGACACATCCTCTTTGGTACGTAAACAGTACACTTGTCTCGCGCATCTAATACTCGGCATCCGTACAATTAGTAACTGCTCGTCTTGTAGGCTTTACTGAATTTGTTCAGTTAGTTTCCGGTCAATAGTTTTGCCATAGTCTCAACTTTTCTCCAACCGACATCAGATAAGTTATTGATTTATTAATTTATTATTATTTTGTATTTGTTTTATATTATAATATTAAGATTGTTTTCGTATGTAAGTTACCCCCCCACCCTTTCCCTTTACTTTTAAGAATTTCATTTGCAGAACTGTAATATATAATTCATAATTTATACAATCATAAGCAGGTGTACCTATTTATTATCCCCTCTTATTTCCGCATTTTGATTTCAACAAAATAAACAACACCACCGCACAGTAATAGGCCATTCCCCTTTATTATTAAGGGGCTGCTTGTTACAATATTGACTTGGTATTACATCTTCAACCTGAAGATGAAAAAGATATTTTTGCGTTTGATTTATTTGAAAAATTCATAATTTGTCAAAACGTAGTCAAAGAATCAACAATATCTATTGATGTAATTATTTTTCTAAAGAAAAGTAATGGAACTTTTCCGAACTTAGCCATTGCTCCTAGGATTCTTTTATGAGTCCCAATAACTTAATCTATTACAGAACGCAGAATAAATTCAAGAAATAAAAATTGAGTGTTGAAAATTACCTAGTTTATGGATTTTCTATAATACGCAAATTGTAAATTTTGTAAATTCTATATGTAGCGTTAAAATTATTTCTCCATCATCAAATTTTTACCAGACGTTTTAATTGCCTAAAGGTAAGTACTATGTAAATTTGAAAAAAATTCGTTCAATCATTTTTGTGTAATGAGATGATATAGTTGGCTATTTTCAGCAAACCACGCGTGTTCAAGACCGTAAAACGATACAAAAAAAAATTATAAATCGATTCAAATATGATATGAATTAAAAGAACATAACTAAAAGTTTCTGAAAGAAAAAAAAAATTTAATTAAAAATTTTTTGACATTCAAATTTTGCTATTAAAATACTGCAAAATTTAAATCAAAATTTCGATGTAAAAAAAAATTCAAAATTCATAAACTTATGAATGAAATTAAAGTAATATTTAATATTAGTAAAACAGTGCTAGTTCCACCGTGATAGCCTATTTGTATGTGAAGTTATAGGCTTTAGGTGTTTTTTCATGTTTTTAATTATAAAAATGTGCTATCTGGTAAAAAAACAATAAAAAAAAAAATATTATTTTTGTTGTCAATGACCTTTAAGAAGTCTATGATATAAATTTCAAAAATTTCTGAACTATGGAATTACCCGTAGACCATATTCAACCAGCGAAACGAATTCAATATTAAATCGATTTCTTGGTGGTCGACTATAGTCACCAAATAGCCAAAATCTTACTATTTTAGATTAAATCTTTACATTAGTCGAATTTTAAATCATGGATTGTTTGAAAATCGAAGGCTCAAATGCGTTGTTATCGATCGTGATTGCAACAAAAACATACTGAATCTTTACTATTGTCGAATTCTGAAAAAAAAAAAATTTTATTTCGTTTGTGATAATTGAATACTCCATTTTATATTTGAATCATAAAATCTTTTTGCGATATTTTCATTTTCTCCAAAACGTAGACATTTGTTTCTTTGTTCTATCATTCTGCTTTATTAACTAAATGTTTCATGTGCTGAAGTATAGCATAAAACTCTGCATTATTGTTTTTGACACGTATAAGTTTTTTCGTAGTATTTACAACGAGAATATTGAAAATTGTATTCTTTTGAAAAAGAATCGATTCGACACCTATCTCACTAGCATCAGTTTGGAGGCAAAACAGTTTTGAGTAGTCAGGAGGAGATAGTCTTGGCGAGTTACACAGGGAAGTTTTTTTTGGCTGTACCAATTGCACACTCCTATAAAATTACGAAGGTCTCTTACGTTTCGGAGAGGTGAAAAAGCGCATATAGCCTCGAGTTTTTCTGGGTGCTTTTTGATCCCGTCTGCGTTGACTAAATGACCAAGAAAAGTGATTTTGGGGAACCCTACTTTGCACTTTTTTACTTTGCATGTTAGTCCATGTCTTTTTAGCCACTCGAGTACTTTTTCTAAGTGGTTTAAATGGTCATCCAAGTTATTTGAATATACTACTATATCATCTAAATAGACCTGTACGAAGTTACCCAAATATCCTCTTAGTACCTCGTTCATTAAGCGGACAAAAGCCACAGGGGAGTTTTTTAAACCGAAGAGTAATACTCTAAGTTGATAAAGTCCCCTTCGGTTTCGAAAAGTGGTAAACTGGCGGGCGTTGAGGTTGAGTGAGACCTGCCAAAATCCGCTTTTAAGATCAAACACACTAAATATCTGAGCTCCTGGCATATTTCTGATCATATCGTTAAGGTTAGGCATGGGGTAAGCGTCAGAGATAGTAGCCTCATTCAATCTTCTATAGTCAACGCAAAGGCGAAACGAACCGTCCTTCTTCTTCGCCAAAACTATCGGAGCGGTGAATGGGGAGGTACTAGGTTCAATTAAACCTTGAGCTTCCATATCCATCACCATATCGTCTATGACCTGCTGTTTTTGCGGTGGGTAGGGATATGGTTTTAAGGTGATAGGGGTTGGACTTTTTAGAAGGATGTCATTCTCAATTAGTTTAGTACGCCCTACAATATCGCTAAAGACTTCGCGGTATCACGAAAGCGTTCGAGTCAATTGTATCTGAGTGCTCGGGCCACCTGCAATGTCTAACTGAGATAGATCTGTCCTAGGAGTGGTAAGGGTATGGCCGGCTTTCCAACAGGCGGTTGTTCGCTTGTTCGCGCCTAGATGGATAGTGCCTGCGCCGTAATCCCAAGAAACTTCTTGCGCTAACAAAAAGTAATGTCCTAGTAATACGTCACAGTACAATTTATCTAAGAGAGCCGCGGTAAACTGGATATCCAGTTCGGCTATTTTAGCGTTAAATATTACGGTCCCACTAGTGAGGGTAGTGTGGCCGTCTGCCAGCCTTACGGTGGTATTTAGTCCATTTACTACAGTACCAAATTTTCTTGCAATATCTGGGTTTACGTACGGCTTTATGGCTTGAGAATCTAATAGGGCTGTTACAAAATCCGTTTCGAATTCTAATTCAACTGCAGGAGTTGTAATTTTCTTCGGACATGTTCGTGGGCTCCTATCTGTTTCGAATAATTTATTAGTGGACGGGTGTAATTGGTTTTTAACCACAAAATCGATAGACTCACTGACGGTTTTACTCGCCATTAGTGGGGTTTTTGTTTCGATTACATATTCCTCCCTAATAATATTCGGGGAAATTGGGCTATTGGGTACTACCGTAGAGTTTTTAAAGCTCGTTGTTTGAACTGAGGCGATGGTTGGTTTAAGTCCAGCGCTGACAGTAGACATTTGATTCGAGTAAGTCGACAACACGGCGCTGTTCCATGATGAAACGTGACATGGTCGTCTCAAACTCAGTTAGGCGTAGGTCAACTAATCCGGCATGCGTAGTATAGCGTAAATTTTGGCGAATTGCCCCAATTTGTTCGCTCGCATTTCGGATATTATTGACATAATGTAGGTCGTCAGAGGACAGTGGGGGTGAGTTTGCGTTGGTTACAGAAACTGATAGTGTCGGTTTATTTTGTGTGTGACTTAATTCGTGAGGGATTAACGAAGTTCTCGCGCTGTTTGTCAAGTTAACGGGTTTGTTATTAAACAAAAGCGAATCGAGTGTAGTGTGCGCTAATTGTTCCTCTACAGTACGATTTGTCGTTAATCCGCGCACTAGCTCATTGTGCTGCGCTGGTTTTTCGGCGGTTAACGAGCCTCGAGGGGATAGACTGGTAAAGGACGGGTTTTTGACTGCAATACGCATGTTTCCTTCTAATATTATTAAAAGTTCGTTTTGAGAACCAGTGGTTGGTAGAGAACGAAAAGCGCATTCGCGAATTAGCTCGCTCTTCGTCATGTCAAAAATTGTTTTGCTCGTCATGTTAAGAGCGTAATTTAGTCGTACGAGTATATATATAGTTAGAAGTAACTGAATATTTTTATTGTTGGTAATAAAATTTATTCTCTTCTAAGTTATAACGTCTATCGACAAAATTATATTTCGCTCAGATTAAGTGATAGCTAAAATGGAGGTTTTTAGTTTATAGGAACAAAACAATTATTTTATAAATATATTATTTACAAAAAAAAATTTTTAATTCTTAAAACTAAGTTAAGAGAAATAATACATTAAATATATCACAGCTATTATCGTAATTCAAACGTGATAGTATTACTAGGTCAGTAACTTATTTTAGTCACAGTCGTTTGTCGATAATATTTATCGTAATGTATTTCACGATTGCGTTGATAAATCAAGATCGCAAAGACCTATGGTAAGGTGTAATAGTGCAGTAATGTGACGTTAAGACCGGTTCAGATAACTGATATTGGAAATATTATTGTTCCGTTCGGCTTACTCACTATATTTAACTACACCGTTATTACTATCGGTCGGGTATTTCACAATGCTGTCACCAATGTTTCTAATCCGGCTTCAAATAGAATGCGTTTCGTGATGATAGGGCGGAGGGAAGAGAATACTAAAAAGTATGTAATTCTTATAGAAAAAAAGAAAAATTTAATTAATTAATCTAAAAAAATTTTTACTTACCAGGTTCGATTCTTTACGGGTAGCCAATTTTGACACGGAATTGTTCAAAGTGTCAATAACCTTTTTCCTTTTTAAAACAACAACAAAAAAAAAAGACGTTGAACAAATGATGTAGCGGCACTAGCCGAGAGAGAAAAACAAGAAAATGTTAAACAGAAAAATAAAATTTAAAATAATACACTAGTGCAATAGTAATATATATAGATAGTACCTTGCAAGTACGTCGCAAGAAAAAGGCGGGTAGCGTTAGTTTGCGTAGGACGTCGAAGGCAAGATAGATAGTTCACCGCCGGCGCTCGGAGGTCGATTGCACTCCAGTAGATGGACTTTGTACCCTAGCTAGATAGCGAGGGTACTCTAATCAGGCTGGACTCGCGATGTAATAAGGCGGCTGATGGAAAAGACGAGGTGCCCGTGTATTAAACGTATCGCAAAATATACGGTACCGTGTCAATTTATATAAAGAATATTTTTGAAGTGCGCTATATCCGTCGACAACTCAGTTGTAGAACTAGTAGTCCGGGTAGAGTTCATTATAAAATATATAGTTCGTAAGATAGGAAACTACATCTTGGAAATATCCTCTGCGTATGTACATGCCAGCCATAAAGGACTATACCAATTACCTATTAGTAACGTGTAGACAGTTGGCGTAAAGGATAGTAAAAGGTGTATTGAAATAATATTTGATATACAATGTTATAGTAATCATGAAAAGATAGTGTTTTCTTCTATCCTTTTATCAACACGTATTTCAATGTTTAATACCGTAAAATAATACATGAAAATTCAAATTTTTACAAACTTGAAAATACAACAGAATATTTAATATTGAATATAAATAAGATATTTTTTTACCAAAATATTTCTTAAAATCTACTCTACGAAATAGCTATCTTAGATATTTTTAATAAAATGTAAAAAAAATGAACTATTGAGATATAATTATAGACCTAACATTTTTACATTTTATTTAAAATATTGTGACGTTCACCGATAACTAACCGTGAGGTTATCACCGATGAAGCACATAAACCCAAACGAAGTTGGATTCACCACTAGCCGAGGCTCTACCAGACCGGAGCGTAGTGGAATTTTAAATATAACTGACACATTTGTTGTTTTAACTTACTAAGTTTTTACCTTAACTCTAGGGGAAAAGGAATTAAAAACTGGTAGACAAGTAGTGTAGGCGATGATGTTCTATTTTATATACTGAGTTTAACTAAAATAATAATGCCCAAAGTACAATAAAATAAATGCCAGTTACAAACGTTCAAAATACAATAAAATTACAAATTCTTTTATATAACATATTTCAAGTCATAGTTAAAATTATTACAAATTATTAAATGAGCTAAAGGACAAATAAAATAAAAGGGACATGAGGGAGAAAATAATCTCTGACACTGCTGTATTGACTATGTTCGATTTGACCAAGGGACAGGATCGTACTTTCCAATATTGAATAAAATAAAATGGTTATCATTGCAATAATGCTCAAACTAAGAACATGACATCGGTCAATATGGATCTAGGCCTTTTATACCGAGCCTTGAGACTGCTAAGCACGTCTAGATTGGTCCAACACATGTGAGGTTTTATTACACTCAACATAATAAAAATAATGATAGAATGGACGAAAATGATATTTTATCATAATTTACCAATAGTCAATGAGCAAATATGCCAAGAGATAAGATAGAATAATCATATTAAAATTTTAAAATATATTAATGTCATTTTTAAAGAAACCTCGTGACAATGCACGAATAGAGGAAACAATGAAATGGACAAAAATAAAGAAAAACGGGAATGCTGTACAAAGTTACCAAATTATATTATCATGATGCCCAGGCCGTAGCCAACAAATGAGTCTTCACCCATGGCTCGATCGCCAGGGCCAAAAGTAAAGTTAGGCAGCCATGATATGTTCAAATATACGCAACATAAAACTAAGTAAAAAGGCTGGAGACAGNAATAAAACTAAGTAAAAGGCTGGAGACAGAATAGACGACCGGGCAAAACACATTTGAACAAAACGGCCAGACCACTTGACGGCGACGACACACATGGACCGGAAGGGGAAACAAACACCGACATCAGTGCATGCCTCGTTGACAGACATCTGGGACCGGTTGAATGATTGACAGTACTGTAGTGGTCAGCTGGGCGTTTTGTTATCACAATGATAATTTGTTATGAACGATTGTACAACAGATAAAATAGAAAAAGGGAATGTGCGACTGCATTATTTAGGAAAATTTAATTATGTTATTACTGAATTATAATGTTCAAAATTAGTTTTTATTCACCACGAAATTAATACTATCTAGACAATAACACCGCATTACCAATTGCCGAGCAGTTACACTTAATTATATGATGTTCACAATAACTAATTTAATTTACTAATGTGTTAAATAGTACTATTAATGATAGGTCAATTTTTTACGTCACAATATAACTCAACGTAGGTCGACCCAGAGATATTCCTTATCCCCTGTATCTCTTCCCTCATTATTTTCCCATCCTATTTATCTTACATTATTATCTATTCAATTTTTGTATTATTACAATTGATCACTTATCTACTCGTTAAGATCATATAGGAAAAAATTATTTTTTTATATTTTCTACTTTTTATAACAATGAAATGTTGAATAAATTGTTATTATATATTATAATATTTTAATAACATGTTAATTTGATAATATTTAGTATATTTCAGTTAATTTCTGTATTTATATTATTGAGTACTATTTATAAACTCTGTGCTTAAACATTTTGCCATTGGCCTAATTGATTTAGTTGATAAAAATCAATGTATATAATTGAAAAAAATGAATTTTTGTTTTATCTAAATACACAGTTGGCAAACACAGACAATATTGAATACGATCTTTGAATTATCTAAAAAAAAATAAAATTATATAGCTAAATTAAAAAGTATTAAATATAATAAATTACCTCTCCAAATAGATGTACATCTATTAGCTTTTGTGTTGTAATTTTCATTTTTGTTTTTTCTGCATCGTTTACACGCATACCTATTAAAATAAGCTTTTGAAATTCAATACCCATCTCTGTCCAATTACAACTGTATAATGCAAAATTTATTTTTTCTTTCTACATTGGAAAAAAATATTAAATAATAAGTATTTATATTACACAATCTCTTTTATTAATTGTATAAAAAAAATACTGACTTCGTCATTTATTATTTGAAAAAAATAACATGCAATTAACATTTCAAATAAATTAGAAAAAGCAGTAAATATAAATAAAACGTTTTGAAATGAAACTATGGGTTGTCCTTTAGAAATATTCTGAAACATTTAAAAGAAAATTATGAAACATTTCAAACATTTGAAATAACATTATAAATTAAAATTAATTACTATACCACAATAAATTGAAATAATAGAGTCAAAAATAGAGACGAATTTAATGCAATTTGTAAGATTGTATTTTGTTGAAAAATAGTGTAAATCTCTCGGATGAACCTTTAAAAATCACAAAAAATAAATATTATCATTTATATGTGTTAGACAAGCATTTCTTTTTAATTCAGGGCTTGAAAAAATTTGTTCGGTATAACAATTAGTTTTGATTATTGTGGTGTTATATTAATATATTACAATAGATTAGTCGTTTATAAACCATAAGTAAAAAAAATTTCAATTAAATTTTGATTGATTTTATATATTAATATTTACGGAAATTTAATTCTAATTTTATTTTTACCTTTGATGCGAATGTGAGAAACTCTCGCTGGACCGATTTTGATGAACAATATGTCAAAATATCTCAAATCGTATCTAGTCGAAGACATTAACCTCAAAAATTGAAAAAAATTCCCTCGTTCTCCGTAAACAGGGGAAATCCCCCAAAAATTACAAATTTAAAAATCGCTAATTTACGACATTTCATCAATTTTTTTTACTTAATTGTGCCATAACTTTTTTAAAAATGACCGAATCAATATAATTCTTTTTTTTTATAGATACCTTAGATATTAACCTATCATTTTATATATTTTTATGAACATTTGACCCTTAAACAGCCCACAGGAAGGGTTTCAAAATGGTAACTTTTTTACATAAAATTAACTTTTTCAACTTAACATTTGATAATGTTCCAGAAAGACTGACACTATTATATATACCTTAAATTAAAGCTAATTTAAGATACTTAAATTTGAAAAAAAAAAATTTGACCTCTGGACTTATCTTCATGGTTAAAATGACTACCGTATGCAAAAATATTCTATTTTTGTGAAAAAATTCTTGATATGATATTTTACATTTTTTAACATTATGTTGCTATAACTTTTTAAAAAAATGCATGAATCAATTTTATTCTTTAATGATAAATATTTTATATATACCCCTTTCATCTGACACACTTTTTTTTAAATCGGATAATATCCCTTTATACAAGGGGGGTCAAAACTTAGACATGCTTATTGAAACTAGGACATTTTCAATTTAATTTTTGAAAATCTTCCAGAAATACTGACACCTTTATATATATCTTAAATTAAAGCTTATGTAATATACTTTAATTTAAAAAAAAAAATTTGACCTCTGGATTTGTCCTCATGGTGAAAATGACTACCGTATTCAAAAATATGATATTTTTGTGTTAAAATTCTGGGTTTTGTATTTTATTTTAATTTAAAATACCTGACAAGGGGAGTACACTGATTTTCATAAATAAAATTGATAAAAAAAGTTAAACTTATTTAAAGTTTTTTTAAGTCGTGAAAATAATTTTGAAATTTGAATTAGCTTAAATAGCCAATTTTTTCAATCGGAGTTAGCGACGTACGGTTACCGAACGGTTAAACTTGTGTCTTACGCGCTTGGGTTACAGTGTTCCAATCCGCGTGAGGCAAGAAAATTTGTTGCATTTTTTCTTAATTCTTTTTAAATTAGAATAAATTTTCAACTCATTTGATTTTTATCTCATTTAAATTCAATAACTTCAATAAAGATCAAGGATCCCATCACTTTAGTCGCCTCATGCGAGAAGAAATTTCTTATTCATATTAAAATTATTTTACTATATTTTAAGTTTTAGCTTCGATACAAAGCTGAGAAGATATTTTTTTGTGACTATCATTTATTTTCTCTGCTTTAACTTGACCTACTTTTTTCAACGATACGTCCAATGACTACAATTCGTATCTAGTTGAAGATATTACTCTCAAAAATTGAAAAAAAAATTCTAATTTATCAATTAAACAGTTAGTTATTACATCGTCTCCATAAAGACAATTAAAATCATTAATTTCTAATGTTTTCAAAATATTTATTAACGAATGAAGTTTGATATGATAGGTTTCAACTACAAAATTAAATCATTTTACTTTGTAATTTAATAATTTT